ATTTTTACAAAGTGTTTTCTCAGAATGCTGCAAGTGCCATTTCCGGGATTCAAATTTTAGAAATTCCCATGTCTTCGACACGAGCCCCCTAGCGCCTCCCCAAATTTCATGAAGTGTCCGCCACTGTTGTTACACGTTGGTAGTGGCTAACTAATTTTCTGGTATTATTGTTAAATTTCAAAAGCTGTGTGCAGGATGTTGCTTTACTGTTAGCCATTAAGGTGAAACTAAAGTTCTCTGATTATGAGCTGAAAGATAGTGCAGTATCCACGGGAAGTTCCATGCAAAGAAAGACTTTTCTCTATTTAATTGACCATTTGAATAGCTATTGAGTATTGTAACACAGAATTATTTGGCGACAGAAAAATGGAACGTTGATATCTTTCGCCTTTCTGAAAGGATGGGTCATAATTTTTCAGCACCAATTGAAGGGTGGGCTACTAATTTTCGAGCAGCTATTAAGGGGTGGGCTACCAAAATTGCAGACACCAAATGTTTGATTCCCCCCCCCCCCATTTTACTTTATGACCACTCGCTTAATTAGTGTAGCTCATGCAAGCATAATTTGCTTCAAAAACGAACTTTTCAGATATGGCAGGGTTTATTTTAACATGCTGTTCTACACAAAATGTGCAGTTCTAAACCAGTTAGTGCAGCTCTTAAAACACCAATGTGCAGTCACCAAACTAACAAAAATAATCTTACTTAAAACAGTCTTCTCATTTACTCGTTACCATTGTGGATGCTCCAGAAAAGTCCAGAAATGCTGTCATTAATTGAGCATCAAAAATAAAAACGTTTTCTGGGGGAGAACTCCAGACCCTCCTATTTTCCTCACAAATCACTTACGTGTTGGGGCAATGGAAAATAATGTAAAATTGGGGCGAGCAAAGCTCCCGAAAAGAGATTAGAGTGGGAGAACCTATAATATTCTTTCCTGCCTCAAATGCAAATTTAAGGTTGTTATAATTATATGGAATATTCATGATTTCCAGTTACATGTTTTGAAACAGTTTTTGTGGGTGATTGGATAAAACAAATCTTTACCAGAACTTAAGAGCCTCTAGATTCAAATTGTTTTGGGGAACACCCCCTAGTTCCCGCACCGAAAATCGAGTTTGTCTGGCCACACCGTTATTCTGTCACCTATATGCAGGTAAAATATCCCTCGACCCCCCCCCCCCAGTCGTTGCCTTCAAAACATCCATATATGTGCACTTCTAAATTTTTCTTTTAATAAACCTGAGAGATGGACAGATATAGAGCAGGAATTGCAAATTGCCATGAAAATGCGACATTCAAAAATACAGGTTCATTCGATTGTTATTGTCAATCTGGCTATACAGGAAACGGCACTCATTGCAAAGATTAGTTTATGATGCCCAAAACCCATATAGGCCTATAGAGCGCCAAGACGCACAGGTGTACGAAATCGAGAGACCGGGTTCATCTGCCGGAAGAAAAATTGTGGTGGCACAATTTTTTTATAAGTTTAACATGGCAGATTTGACGTAAAGAAGAATTCACCATTTATGTATATAGATCATATGTTTTCTTTCAAACAAAATTTTTAGATATCAATGAATGCACAGCAGGAACTCACAACTGCTATAACCATACATGTAGCAATACAGAAGGTTCATTCTATTGTACTTGTAATTCTGGTTACACAGGAAACGGCACTCATTGTGAAGGTTAGTTTATATTTGTCTCATGATGTCGTGCATGTTTGCATGATTTCGTAGAATTTAATGGAAGTCGTGGTATATCTATCATCATTTTTTTAGCACATTTTTGCATTGAGAATAGCCGTATTTCCCGCAGCATCACGTAGGCATCGCGAGTTCGGGCAATCTGGTAGCCAAACGATAACTTCATGTATCTATGCACGTATGGGTAGTCATCTTACATCTTACTCTCCCACTCAACCACACCGTTATTCTGTCACCTATATGCAGGTAAAATATCCTTCCACCCCCCCCCCCCACCCAGTCGTTGCCTTCGTAACATCCCTATATGTGCAGTTCCAAATGTTTCTTATAATAAACCCTGATAGGGTTTATTTTAACGTGCAGTTCTGCACAAAATGTGCAGTTCCAAACCCATTTGTGTACTTTTTAAAACACCAATGTGCAGCCACCAAACTAACAAAAATAATCTTAATTAAAACAGTCTTCTCATTTACTCGTTACCCTTGTGGATGCTTCAGAAAATTTCAGAAATGCTCTCATTAATTGAGCATCAAAAATATAAACGTTTTCTGGGGGAGGACTCCAGACCCTCCTATTTTCCTCACAAATCACTTACGTGTTGGGGCAATGGAAAATAAGGTAAAATTGGGGCGAGCAAAGCTCCCCAAAAGAGATTAGAGTGGGAGAACCTATAATATTCTTTCCTGCCTCAAATGCAAATTTAAGTTTGTTATAATTATATTGAATGTCCATGATTTCCAGTTGCATGTTTTGAAACAGTTTTTGTGGGTGGTTGGATAAAACAAAACTTTGCCAGAACTTAAGAGCCTCTAGATTCAAATTCTTTTGGGGAACACCCCCTAGTTCCCGCACCCAAAATCGAGTTTGTCTGGCATTTCTCCAATTTTCCCACCCAACCACACCGTTATTCGGACACCTGTATGCAGGTAAAATAGCCTTCGACCCCCCCTTGTCGTTGCCTTCGTAACATCCCTATATGTGCAGTTCTAATTTTTTCTTATAATAAACCCTGAGATATGGACGAATGTACAGCAGGAATTGCAAATTGCCATGAAAATGCGACATGCAAAAATACAGGAGGTTCATTCGATTGTTATTGTAAATCTGGCTATACTGGAAACGGCACTCATTGCAAAGTTTAGTTTATGATGCACAAAACCCAAATAGGCCTATAGAGCGCCAAGATGCACAGGTGTACGAAAATGGGACACCGGGTTCATCTGCCCAAAGAAAAATTGTGGTTGGACAATTTTTTTGTAAGTTTAACATGGCAGAATTGACGTAAAGAAGAATTCACCAATCAATGTATATAGATCATATGTTTTCGTTCAAACAAACTTCTTAGATATCAATGAATGTACAGCAGGAACTCACAACTGCTACAACCATACATGTAGCAATACAGAAGGTTCATTCTATTGTACTTGTAATTCTGGTTACACAGGAAACGGCACTCATTGTGAAGGTTAGTTTATATTTGTCTCATGATGTCGTGCATGTTTGCATGATTTTGTGGAATTTAATGGAAGTCGTGGTATATCTATCGTCATTGTTGACCACATTTTTGTATTGAGAATAGCCGTATTTCCCGCAGCATAACGCAGACATCGCGAGTTCAGGCAATCTGGTAGCGAAATGATAAGTTCATGCATGTATGTACGTATGGGTAGTCATCTTACTGACCTCAAAAATATGGCTGTTTGCCAGGAGTGAAGGACGCAAAGTATTAGAATATTAAAACAAGCTTGGGTGTAATCGTTTCACACCATAAATTGTCAAACATTTTTGAGTAAACATGTAAAACAAGTCCATGTTGTTAGTCGATGAATTCATGCATGGCCAATTATACTACATTGCATTCATGGCCGCCGAGAGAGGGGGGTGGGTGCTGGGGGGCCCCTGCAATTTTTTTGTTGGGCCCCAGTCATTTTTGTTGGTAAAATATTTCCGCCAAAGGGACAAGATTTGAGCTAAGTATCGCAATTTGGTATGAAAAATTGAGATAAAGTCTCTGGAAATCAATTGCAACGTACCCGTCCGGAATTTTGTTTTACCTAAAAAATTGTCCACGGGGGGGAGGTTGTTGTCCGAAAAAAAAATTTTTCGGAAAATTTTTTTAAATAGGGGCCCCAAAAAAACAATTTACCCCCGGGCCCCCGCCAACCTCTCGGCGCCCCTGATTTCAGTCCCTGATATTATTTAAAGGTACCAGCTAGCAAATTATCCGCAGCTAATATACATGAATATTGCCTGTTCCGTGTCTACTGAAAGCCATGCGTGAGTTTTGACAAGGAGGGTTGCAGACTAGCCTCTCACCTGCACTACAGTCCAACATAATAAAAATAATAAATAATGCATGATCCTTGCTTTGATAATATGTCAGCTCGTCTGTTCCCAGATGCAAGTGAGGATGATTAGCATGCACAAGCAATTACTTATCAAACCAAACTAGTATAAATTTTGAATATTAATTGAGAATAGAACTAACTAAATGTACTTCATCATTTTCTCAAACCAACTTTCTAGATATTAATGAATGTACAGAAGGAATGGACAATTGCCACAACAACTCTAATTGTAGTAATTCTGAAGGTTCATTCAGTTGCAATTGTATTCATGGCTACATATACACAGGAAACGCGACTGGTTGTCGAGGTTAGTTGAAATACTCCACTGTTCGTTTATTTCATATTAATCTCCGACCACATTTCAAGCGTCATACGTATACCAATGTTCGATTTCCCCTTAATTGGTGTTGATTTCAATAACATATATGTTTACCTTTATTTATATACATGGCCATTACATACACATATTTATTACACGCCTTTATAACAAACTTGTGCTTTTATGATATCGTAATTTTTTCTTAGCTTTCCAATAATGTAGGTTACATTTGCCTAAAAATGATTTCAATTTCGATTTTCACCATGTTCCACCGAAGGGATTTTTGGGGATTTTTAGTATGTTAATCAAAACAACTTTTCTCACACTTTACCACTGAAAACAAGTCTATTGCAATTTCTTTGATCAGGACCAATGGCATGTACTTATAGTGATTTGACTGGACTATTGTCGTTATAGTAACATGTGTTACTGTACTGTACTGTACTGTGCTGTGCTGTGCTGTGCTGTGCTGTGCTGTGCTGTGCTGTGCTGTGCTGTGCTGTGCTGTGCTGTGCTGTGCTGTGCTGTGCGGTGCTGTGCTGTGCTGTGCTGTGCTGTGCTGTGCTGTGCTGTGCTGTGCTGTGCTGTGCTGTGCTGTGCTGTGCTGTGCTGTGCTGTGCTGTGCTGTGGGAAATTCCTGTGACACCGGTTTTACACCCAAAATACCAGCCATATGGCAGTGTGAAGATAGTATGCTATCACAAAAAGTTGAGTTCGAAGTTATATGGAGAAAATTGTAGATTACATTATTAATAAAAGATAAACTGTCAGATTATATTCGTTCTTCGAAAATTTGTGGTTGTCACTTTACCGGGAACTTCTTTCTTATATTTATTCAGTTTTATAGGCAAATTACATGTGTTCGCAATGGTCTAGCAAACAACTAATTCGATTAAATTTGCCCATTTCAGCGTTTTACCCCCATTTCAGCGTTTTACCCCCATTTCAGCGTTTTACCCCCATTTCAGCGTTTTACCCCCATTTCAGCGTTTTACCCCCATTTCAGCGTTTTACCCCCATTTCAGCGTTTTACCCCCATTTCAGTTTCCGCTTTCAGTTTCCGTTTCCGCGATTCAGTTTCAGCGTTTTATCCCTACCCTTGTGAAAATACGTAGAACGCTAATAGATAATTTGATACATTTATTTTACTTCACAATTGTGGAGTCGTCATTTAATATCTAGTAATGAGTTGAGCACGATTACTCGCTAGAGCGCAAAGCTAAGTAAGACTGTCCTACTAAGAATATTTACAAGTTATTTTATCGCGAGTTAGAAGAGGCGAGGCGGAAAAGCAATTAAGATTAGTGTCAAGATAATTAAGGCGCGTTAATACAATTAATAGGCTAGAAGTGATAACAAGATATAAATATGTACAAGTGTTGGCTGCCAAGAGGAAATTTTATGTTAATAGTTTTTGCGGCGTAAAGATTAAATCTAGGCGAGTCTACTTCCTAAAAGGTTTAAAATAATATGACTAAAAATAATGTTTGTAGAAGTTCCAAAAGTTATTAATGTCTTTGAGCCAAAACAGCATAATATCCGCTTAGTGATATCGGGTGACTATCACTACAAGGGAAATATACACTAAATTTTATCAACATTCATTGAAAACATCACGTCTTACCTACTAATTGATTTAAATAAATAAAATTAGCAAAACCTACCGCTTTTGTGGGGTTTTCCTGGAGAAAAACTTTCAAAACAAAACAAACAAGAAAATCGAAGATGAAGTGTTTATCCGCGTTTGACGTCACAAAATAGCTTATGCACGCTGACGCCATACTTATAAGAAAGGTCTATTAGGCTACCCTTGGTGCCAGAGGTTCTTCCACGCTCGTAGGGGGGATAATGAGGGATACACGACGATTCAAGCTGCGCGGCGGCGAGCGGGAAGAACCTCTGGAACACTTCTGTGGCTTTTAGTGTTTTAACTGTCACATGTCAATCAAACGTTAGCCAATAGGACACGTATTTATTTTTGACTGATGATGATTTGGGCGTGTTCAACCGAACATTTGAGCGATGGAAATTGCGACAGAATGTGTCAATTTCAAAACAAAAAATTAAAATTAGCGAGTCTTTATAGTAAAATAAACCGAATAATATTATATGGCCACATGGCATTAGACCGTACACCTCTTAAAAGTGTTACAAAAAAGCGGAGACGAGTATTGTCGAGTTTGTGGTGAATTTGTTATTCACAGTGGGTATTTTAGTACATACAGTAAAAGGATCGTCGCCTCGGTAGATTGAACTTTGAAGCATTTTTTGTTCATCATAATACAAACGACTGATTTGCCGTCCAAGGCCCTGTTTATATGGAGGCGAGTTACTCTGCAATTGGCCAATAAAACTTATCTAATGATTCGTATGTATTTTTGAGCAATATATTATATTTCAAATGCAAAGCACATACATTTATATACATACATTCAATCTCGGGCGGCCGAGTTATTAACAAATACCCGAACATCTTTTGTTTATAATATGGTAACTATTCATCTCGCCGAAGGCAATATATCGCCTCTTTCTGCCGGGAACTCGTCACCGGCGAGTTTATACTCGGCTGCATCGCCATGTAAACAGTCTCCCGGGTTTACTACTATATCAAAGTTTCTATAATTTTGCCAGGATCTTGTCGTTGACGAGTGCAAACTCGACTTGCCGGGTAATTCGCCTCGATATAAATAGGCCTATAAAGACTCCCATCTTTTCTTGACATGCTTGATTACTAGACAGACACGCACACGAAATTCCCTCTTGGCAATATAGCAAACATATCACGGCGATGCATTAACTGAAACACAGAAACAAGGCATCATCTTGATGTTTAATTTATTGTGTTTTGTAACACCGTCCAGTAAAAAATGTCAAAATCGAATCAACCGGCGACCGAGTTGTTGATATCCTCGCAAAACTCGCAAGTCGTAAAACTAGAGGCATATATATTTACGCTTGAATATGTTATAAATATAATATTATATTTAAACAACAGCGCCATGGCCTGTACGGATTCTGAACGATAATATCTTGAAGGACAAACAGCCAATGAAAGTCATTGTTTTAACAAGTCCCTGCCGTTAACCAATTAACCAGAGGAGGTTCGACAAGCAGGCCGCAAAGCATCATGGGTTTGAGTGCCTAATTCCAGGCGTGGCTTCAATGACTCTTTGACTGTCGTGGAGTGACCATCTCTCTGAGTAAACAAATATGAAAGCATTGGAAATACAAGATTGTCAGGCTGCAAAACTTCGTGAAAATAGCATGTTATTGCTGTATTGTTGCGATCCTCATTATGGCTTGTGTTCATACTATACCAAGCAGGGCCGTAGCGAAGGGGGGTATTGGGGGGGGGGGGGG